TGAGAACAATGTGTTAAGTCCGTTTGTGGTGTCGCCCCTAACTCATTGGCCAATTTTACAACAACATGTGTTTTATGCACCGATTACATATATTAATTATTCGTGGATCCGCCCTGTTTAAAGCTGTGTTCCGTGAATCCGTGGTTCATATTCCCCGCCGGAATGTAATTAAAAACAATCAGAATTTAGCAATCATTGCAGAATGTCTCTTTGTAAGTGTCAGTTGAAATCACTGATACACGCATTTCATGGTAGTAAATGTAAGTGTTCCAAAACAACATGTGTCAAGTAGATTTCATACTGAGGCTGCAAATGTAAGTGTTCCAAAGCAACATGTGTAAAGTAGATTTCATACTGAGGTTGTAAATGTAAGTGTTCCAAAACAACATGTGTAAAGTAGATTTAATACTTAGGTTGTACATGTAAGTGTTCCAAAGCAACATGTGTAAAGTAGATATAATGCTGAGGTTGTACATGTAAGTGTTCCAAAACAACATATGTAAAGTAGATATAACGCTGAGGTTGTAAATGTAAGTGTTCCAAAGCAACATGTGTAAAGTAGATATAATGCTGAGGTTGTAAATGTAAGTGTTCCAAAACAACATGTGTCAAGTAGATTTAATACTTAGGTTGTAAATGTAAGTGTTCCAAAGCAACATGTGTAAAGTAGATTTCATACTGAGGTTGTAAATGTAAGTGTTCCAAAACAACATGTGTAAAGTAGATTTAATACTTAGGTTGTAAATGTAAGTGTTCCAAAGCAACATGTGTAAAGTAGATATAATGCTGAGGTTGTAAATGTAAGTGTTCCAAAGCAACATGTTTAAAACAGATATAATGCTGAGATATAAGATTTGTATGTAAGTGTTCCAAAGCAACATGTGTAAAGTAGGCGAAAATATCGCAACATGGGTTCATAAATTAAGTGTTCTTACATGGTGCCCATGGTGACGTAGATATAATGCGTCATGAACAATGCTATGACGTCAAAGTTTCTTATAATGACGTTGTAAATGTAAGTGTTCGTGTCTATAATGCTGATTGTAAATGGCGTTCCAAAGCAACATGTGCAAAGGTATAATGCTGAGGTTGTACTATGTTTGAAATGTTTAGATTTGGAGGGCGAAAATGTTCATATTTTTCTTAATTTGACGACTTGACGTCACGTATGATTGCGTTCTAAAGGCGACGGCAGGTAGCTAGCCTATTTGATATTTTTCGTTTGCGACTTCGGTAATAAACATAATATTATATTCGTGCCCATATCGTACTATGTTTACGACACTCGTCCCTAAATATCGGCATATCCCTCGCTCTCGCACAGGAAATGCCAACATTTAGGCACTCGTGTCGTAAACATGGTATGACATGGGCACTCATATAATATCCTCTGTATAATGCTTACATCATTCCAGCATGACAGGTATGTGTAAGTGACAATTTGTGTTAGTCACAAGAAACACCAGAGTGCCTGGATGTGGTATTTGTTATCTGTGGCGTACTGATACAGATGTTATGACAACCTGTCTTGTACTGAAACAGATGTTATGACAATCTGTGTTGTATTGATACAGATGTTATGACAATCTGTGTTGTACTGATACAGATGTTACGATAATCTGTGTTGTACTGATACAGATGTTATGATAACCTGTGTTTTATTGATACAGATGTTATGACTATCTGTGTTGTACTGATACAGATGTTACGATAATCTGTGTTGTACTGATACAGATGTTATGATAACCTGTGTTGTACTGATACAGATGGTATGATAACCTGTGTTGTACTGATACAGATGTTATGGCAATCTGTGTTGTACTGATACAGATGATATGATAACCTGTGTTGTACTGATACAGATGCAATGATCACCTGTGTTGTACTGATACAGATGTTATGATAATCTGTGTTGTACTGATACAGATGTTATGGCAATCTGTGTTGTACTAATACAGATATTATGGCAATCTGTGTTGTACTGATACAGATGTTATGACAATCTGTGTTGTACTCATACAGATGTTATGACAATCTGTGTTGTACTGATATAAATGTTATCAACAGACAACTCCTCAACACTGAATTCTCTGTGGTACAAGAAAGGGCGTAAGGATATTTTTCGTTTCCTTTTTATTGCCTGGGATATTTTGTTTAAGAATTGGCAATTACAGCACTAAACAGCAGCGCAAAGAAAAGTAAACACATGAAGATTTGATTTGATCGAAATATAACAACGTGATCAGAAAGTTACTAAGCTGAAGACAGTGGTCGGGTCAGCAAATGGGTCTAAAACACAACTATGACATCCGTACCAAATATTGAACATTGAGTGAACACTCCCAGCTAGCCACCATCAAACAAGGGCGTATACTTTCTTCTGCTCGGTACCGTATTTCCTACAATTGATTTTATCGGCGGCTGTCGCACGTTGATGACGTGGCATCGATCTGCCGCCATCTGTGTCATCTGACTTTTCAGTACTGTAGAACAGATGCCAATACCTTCGCAGGTAGTGCGGAAATAAGTACTGAACTTTTATCGCTGTAAACCTGATAGATTGGGTTTGTGCTGCAGATGTATCTGTATCAAACCTATGAATTATATCTAGACAATTGTTATAATCTTACCGGTATGAGACACAATAAACTATGAATATGTCCATAACACGTAAATATCATAAACCTTACAACGTGTATGTTCTGAACTAGAAAGTGGAATTAATCGGAGTGTGTTGGCACAAGGAAACAACAGTTACATCGTTGACATTCACGCGTTGGCTTTGAATTGGAATATTTTAATTTCGGTATCCGAAACAGTGGAACCTTGGATGTCCAAAATCACTACTTTTGGACAATTACTGAAGGGGACACAGTAAGATACAGACAGAAACACACATACAGAGACACACAGACACGCACGCACGCACGTACACACATACCATTTCCGAGAAACAGGGTATCGATGTATCTTTGATTTTGTTTGTTTGGTGTTTCTACGCAATTGGGATACGATGACATGTGTCAATCAAGTCAGCGTCCTGACCACCCAATCCCGTTAGTCGCCTCTTACCGCATGCATGGGTTGCTGAAGATCAATTCTGACCCGGCTCATCAGGGGGATGTATCTTTGAAATATGTACAGTGCACGCTGGTTATAATGCCCCTAGTTATCATGCCCCTGGTTATAATGCCCCTGGTTATAATGCCATCCTGGACATAATGCCATGTTTTTGCCAGAGCTGATTTCCTGCCTATATAATACCCTGGTTACAATGCCAAACTGGATATAATGCCATTTGCCAGTGTGTGTTTTTTAACAAAAAGTGATTTTTCCCTGGTTATAATGCCAATTACACTGGCTGCATGTAGTACACATACCTTAATTGGTTAATTGACATGTTCAAATTAATTGACTAAACTTAATAATACTTTAAGAAATTATGTGATCCCAGATGTGATGACACATGTAGCAATACTCTTCCTGCCACCTACAAGTCACCTGCAGCCCCAAGATGCTTGGATTATCCAGTCATTCAAGGTTCAGTACAGGAGTGAGTGAGTGAGTGAGTTAAAATTTTAAGTCACATCGGCAGTATTTCAGCCATTTCGTGACTAAGAAAGTTGTACATATATAAATGAATAAAAAGAAGGTTAGCGAATATACTTACCTGTCTGCTAAGGACAGTAAAACAACTAGATTATCACAGAAATACATTTAAAACTAGTAATTAAATCTAAAATACTTTAACTAGAAATGACAAGACAATATAAAAACGGGCTGTAGATCGCCAACAACTGAAGGTAGATCACCATACTAGGGACCATGGGGACTTACAGTACATTGCTTCCTGAGCTGGATTTACATCATCCCTTCAGCTATTGGCAATTTTAGATAATCCAGCCATAAATTAAAATAACATATATCCTACGATTAAAACTAGTTGTAAGTTTAAATTAACTTTGAACTATTTTGGGACTTACGTACCCTCTCAGTCAGTACAGGAGACATCAGCTCTGTCACCTTGTTGATTGCACAGGTCTCTAACTGTCCTACCTGGTTATAATGCCACCCTGGATATAATGCCATATTTTCTCCTGGACAAACGGTGGCATTATAACCAGGGTATACTGTATTTCAGAGTTCAGTATTCACCTCAAGCTCGCGGTACTCAATTATTAGGCGCAACCGCTGGACTCAGAAGCCAGTTGTTTTTTTAGGCGCTTTGGGAGCTATTCCACCGTTCTTCCAAATTCACGGATTCCGGGGTGAATGTGTGACCTGACCTTGACTGTTGCGATCGGCTGGTCAGACTCCGTGACTCAACTTATTTCTACTTATATACTTGCGGGCGGTGGGGTAGCCTAGTGGTTAAAGCGTTCGATCGTCACGCAGAAGAGCCGGGTTCGATTCCCCAAATGGGTACAATATGTGAAGCCTATTCTGGGTCGCTCACCGTGATATTGCTGGAATATTGTTAAAAGCGGTGTAAAACTAAACTGACGCACGCACGAACGAACGCACGCACGCACGCACGCACGCACGCACGCACGCACGCACGCACTCACTCACTGACTGACTGTTAGTCTCTGTCATTGGTTTCCCTGGCCTGGTCAAGACTCGATACTTTACATACAACTCATTCTCTCACTTTACTTGCTCCCCGACCGCGTCATACCAAAAGACGTTAAAATATGGTACTTGTTGGTCCCTGCCTGGCGCTCGGCATTAATGGGTACAACAAGGACTGGTCGGCTCGGAGTCAGTATAATGTGTCTGTGTGCGGTATTCATGCTTCACTGCGGCATGGTATGTCAGTGGGCTAGCACTATAAAACCAGCTTAAGTCAGGTTTAGTACAAGCAGCCGCACATACACATACACACGCATGCACGTGGTCATATGAGCGAAATATTCTCAAGCACGACGTTACACCAAATTTCATCTCACCTCACTTTACTTGCACCTCTATATCACAGAAAAGACAACAACAACATATTCATGTGTTAGAATTATTCTATTGTTTATCACATTTTCAAAGATTCAATAAACAAGTGACACACTACAAAAACACGAAAAGAATAATTGTCTCATGGTAATCTAGCCACCGACTGCTGTCTATATTCTTCAGATATGTGTGATTACACCCGTCCCTGCATCAGTGTGTTCATCTCGTAGAGACATCATGTGATGTTGCACACGCGTTTAGAATTCTGTGAAAACAAACACATTCTGACAAGTCTTTAAAATGGTTCGATCACGCGGTCACGTTGTTAATAATTGAGTGGCTAGTTACTGCTGGTGAATACAAGCCTCGGGGGCTCTCTACGTTGAGGCTTTGATATTGCGAAAGCAGTGACAATTACAAGAGACGTTTCAATGGTTTTAAAAAATATAAACAAAAGAAAAACAACAACTGATTTCTACGTAGATGCTTTGATATTGCGAAAGCAATGCCTCCTTACAAGAGTCTTTTCAATGGCTTTAAACAATAAAAAAACAAAAAAACAACCCAACTGATTTCTACGTAAATGCTTTGATATTACGAAAGCAATGCCTCCTTACAAGAGACTTTTCAATGGCTTTAAACAATAAAAAAACAAAAAAACAACCCAACTGATTTCTACGTAGATGCTATGATATTACGAAAGCAATGACTCCTTACAAGAGACTTTTCAATGGCTTTAAGAAATAAACATAAAACAAACAAAACTTAACTGATCGGGAAATCAGCTGTGACATAGACAACTAAGGATTGCCATTACTCCATGGCATACCAAACGCATGATATGCAATGTACATATGTCAATAGCATTATCTCTCCTTGACTTAATACTAGCTGGTGTTGTAATTATGATATGCGACCCAGACACGTGTGCTGCCATTTAGACATTCATCACTGTACACAAAACACATTAATGAGGAACACAATGCAGGATCATATAAAAACAGTTGTGATTCATTCATAACGTTCAAATCGGGAACATATTTAAGTTCGCGGTGACGGAAACTGCCGATGACTTCTGATTGTCAAAGTTGTTTGCCGGGCTCTAGGCAACCATCACCTTCACGAATTCTGAAACACAATAGTAACACGTTTGTAACAAGATTCCTGAATTTGTACTTTCATAATGGCAGATCAGTTTCATTTCACAGGGTTGCATATCCCTAGGGAGTTGAGATAGAACCTCGAATGCGCTATGATCCACTGACCAGCATAATGATGGTGGTAATTCGTTGAACATTAATCATCATCACCATCATCATCGTCATCAACAACATCATCATCACCATCATCATCGTCGTCATCATCAACAACATCAACAACATCATCATCGTCATCATTATCATCACCATCATCATTATCATCATCATCATCGTCGTCGTCGTCGTAGTCATCGTCAACAACAACAACAGCATTATCATCATCACCACCACCACCACCATCACCATCATCAACATCATCACAACATCATCATCATCATCGTCGTCATTATCATCGTCGTCGTCGTCATCGTCGTCATCATCATCAACAACATCATCATCATCATCATCATCCTTATCATCATCACCACCATCATCGTCGTCGTCATCATCATCATCAACAACAACATCATCACCATCATCATCGTCGTCGTCATCATCACCATCAACAAGAACATCATCATCATCATCATCATAAAACAAGGTTTCAAGGCCATTATATCCACCTTCATAATTAACCTTCCCGTCATTGTTGAGGTCGACCACCTGCATCATGGTGTCCACCTCGGCGTTAGAGAGAGGTTCCCCGCGGACTTTGATGACGTCCCTCAACTCGTTGGGGCTGATGAAGCCGTCGCCGTTCAAGTCGTACTTTTTGAAGTCGGCTTTGATGTCTTCAGAACGTTTAGCGTTGTTAACTTTTTTGAGCATCATTTGCTGAAATTCCTGGAAGTCCATTGTCTTGCTTCCTGAAGGAAATGTGGTCATTACAATTTCAGCAACCTTTTATGTTGTTGTTTTTCTTTCATGCTAGAGATACCGAAGGGTTAGGGTAACGGTAAATTCTGTATTGTTTGATAGGGTGCCGGTGGTGACTCTTTTTACACAGCGAACTTAGTGCTACACAATGATTTAACTCACATATATTAACATAGGTTTACGACTGTCGCCATGTGACAGTGTTGCGAGAGATTTGCGTGATCAACGCATCCATTTGATTTTATTTTGAAAGGTATGAAACAAGAAAATACATGTATGACTTAACAAATAATTCCAAAACCACCTCTGAATAATACAATCGACCTTGGAAACTATGGGTGGGGATGTGTACTACGAGTTAGACAATCAAAATGACTTATCTGATGGCATATTTATCGATTATAAAGTTATCAATTATCTTTAAAAGTTAAAAACTATTAGTGATACTTTAATACGAAACTGCTAAACGAAAGGCGGTTGACATATTCGTATGTCAAGAGCTAGTTGCGGCGGAGTGAGTACGATTTTACGTCGCTTCTAGCAATATCACGGCGGAGGGCACTAGAAACAGGCTCCACACACCTCGCCAATGTTTGGTAGAGAGGGAACGCTCTAATCACGGGTTACCCCAACGCCCAAGGCTATGAATTCGTACTTCTGTTTACATGAATAGGTATTCTATCTTCCTTTTTAGAAAAATAAATAAATGAATTATAAGAGTATCAAAAGAGTAGTTGCTGGATATGTATGTATCGGGGCTATGCGTATTTCAGATGGTGACTTTTAACACGGATAAACACAAATGATGATAACAAAAACTCGGTCTTGGTGCAAAAACGTATTTAAGAAATCATTACGCTTTGAATAAGTGCACATATATGTATGCGTATGATTGTGTAGTAATTGTAGTAATTTTAAGGTCTTTCAGGGCAGTTGTAAACATATCTACAAATAGCTACCATAAAGAGAACTGTATTTTGGAAAGCTTGGAAGCGGTGATCATGAATCTGAGTCGACCAAGTTACATAATTACAATACAAGGGTGCGCAGAAAAAGATACATGGCTGTTTAACTATGGCGAGGTTTTTAAGCATACGTAAAATATGAAAACATTCCCATGTTCTTTAGAACGAATAGTTTGAGTGAGTGAGTATGGTTTTACGTCGCTTTTTAGCAATATTCCAGCAATATCACGGCGTGGGACACCAGAAATGGGCTTCACACATTGTACTCATGTGGGGAATCGAACCCGGGTCTTCGGCGTAACGAGCGAACGCTTTAACCACAAGCCTACCCCACCGCCTACGAATAGTTGGACATGACAACACTTGTACGTCGTCAATGTATGCTTACTGCAAATAGCTGCAAAACTGCTGACACAGCGTTGAGCAATATTCACTCACACTGTCAATGCATGGATTATTACAGATAAACTCTCTTGTCAATGGGAGTTGTGTTTAACGCCACGTGTAAGGGACCGTTCACAACTTGTGGCTGGGGTGGGGTGAGGGATGTGTGTGATGATGATGATTTTAAAGGGGGCACCCACTTTGTTCTGGGGAGGTAGGGGGGTCAGCAATGTTGCTCATAAAAATATTTTAAATATATTATTAAAAATTATGGGAAGAGGGAGGGGCATTGAATTTATACATAACATGCAGGGGGGTCACTTACCTTGTTCATAAATTGTAGTGGGGAGGGGGCATTCACATTGTACATGCTCTGCCCGACAATGGGTGAGTGAATATGGTTTTACGCCGCTTTTAGCAATACCCTTTGGGGAATCGAACCCGGGTCTTTGGCGTGACGAGCGAACGTTTTTACCACTAGGCTACTCCACCGCCCCATGCCCGACAATAAACATATATGACTAGGTTAGTTTGTATCTAAACGTTTGGCACGATCTAATATATCATGAACATATTTGAAGAATTATATGTTATTCCATTGCCACCAATGTACGATTTGTCCATTCGAAATTCGAATAAGTGTGATATTATTGTCTTCATTACATATAACTGTCTCGTCTTAACTGAGCGTTCGTCACTTAAGATCTTGTCAAATCGAAAACTCTACCAAGCAATTGATTCAATAAACGAAGGGCCGTGTAATGTTGCATGTATTCAGAAATGTCACAATCAGAAGCTAACAATTGGTTTACGTCATAACTGATGTTTGGTTTAACGCTAACTTGTGCTTCTAATATATCATGATGTGTTTGGAAAGCCTAAAGTAGGGTCTCAGGTTTTACCATTCTGGAAAGAAACTCACGTCCCCTTTTTACTGGTATATACGCAGTGTTTAAATCAGCTATTACCACACTATAATTATATACTCAATCATGAATTAGTCATCCATATGTGTCATCTCGCGACCTAGTGACGTCAACACTGATCCAAACTCACTCACTCTCTCACTCACTCGCTCGCTCACTCACCGTCTCCTCCACATGCTCCCGGGTCATCTCGCGACCTAGTGACGTTAACACTGATCCAAACTCACTCACTCGCTCGCTCACTCACCGTCTCCTCCACATGCTCCCGGGTCATCTCGCGACCTAGTGACGTTAACACTGATCCAAACTCACTCACTCGCTCGCTCACTCACCGTCTCCTCCACATGCTCCCGGGTCATCTCGCGACCTAGTGACGTCAACACTGATCCAAACTCACTCACTCTCTCACTCGTTCGCTCACTCACCGTCTCCTCCACATGCTCCCGGGTCATCTCGCGACCTAGTGACGTTAACACTGATCCAAACTCACTCACTCTCTCACTCGTTCGCTCACTCACCGTCTCCTCCACATGCTCCCGGTCATCTCGCGACCTAGTGACGTTAACACTGATCCAAACTCACTCACTCACTCGCAGACTCACCGTCTTTGTAAAATTGGTTGAGGATCTCTTCCACCTCCTCCTGTCTCATCTTGCGACCTAGTAACGTCAACATTGATCCAAACACACACACTCACTCACTCGCTCAGACTCACCGTCTTTGTGAAACTGGTTGATGATCTCCTCCACCTGCTCCCGGGTCATCTCGTGAGTTAGTGACGTCAACACTGATCCAAACTCACTCACTCACCGTCTTAATCAAACTGGCTTATGATCTCCTCCAGGGTCATCTCGCGACTAGTGACGTCAAAACTGATCCAAACTAACTCACTCACTCACCGTCTTTGTCAATCTGGCTGAGGATCTCTTCCACCTCCTCCTATCTCATCTCGCGACCTTGTAACGTCAACATTGATCCAAACTCACTCACTCACCGTCTTTGTCAAACTGGTTGATGATTTCCTCCACCTGCTCCCGTGTCATGTCGTGACCAAGTGACGACAACGCTGACCCCAACTCGGACACAGTAATTTTGCCGCCCCCATCTCTGTCAAACTTTCTAAATAGCTTCCTCAACTCTGAAAATAACAGAGTCTTTGGGTTACAAATAATATCATTTATAGATCAAAATGCGTCTTACCTGAGGACCTGAGGACAGTCGGTCACAGTGACGTTGCGTTGTCGTAATGCATTTACATAAAATACGAGACGTCGTAATACATTTACATAAGATACGAGACGTCGTAATACATTTACAAGAAATACAAGACGTCAAAATGGCCGACACGCGTACGATAGACGTGGCGGAAGTGATATCCAAAGTTGCTCATGAACCTCAGGTGACGTAAGTGTTTGTTTTCATTTATCAACTGATCATTCACTGAATGCTGAAAAGGACATTCAAAAAGATTCTAAGATAAATATAGTGCTGTAGACTTTTACATGTCAGTTAAAAAACTGATCGAATCTCAATTTAGAATGTGCGTATCTTCGTTTCGTTGATTAGGGTCGGTCGATTTTGAAGGAGAGCGAGCATGGTTTTACACCGCATTTAGCAATATTCCAGCAATATCACGGCGGGGGACACCAGAAATGGGCTTCACACATCGGTCTTGAAGGAGTATTCTGCTCACAATCAAACGGTCTGATTTATTTCCATTTATGCTAAAACGTTACGTTCATGATTGAAGACGTTAAGTCGATGATTTTGTCGCTCTAAATAGAGATTATTTTATTATAGACCTTAACACACACTGTCAACCACCACCACAACCCCCCACCCTCACCCCCACCACCCCTCATTTTTCAAAAATCTGATCTTTTAGTAAGTTAAGAATATTGTTTACCTTCAATCTGCGACTCCGCCAGTTGGTCCTCCTAAAAAATAACAAAATAAATTATTAACATCATCGTTGTTCATGCAGTATAAGAAGTAGACTATAATATCATTAAAAGGAAATTATGTAAATATGTATTTTGGACTGCGTTAAAAATACATGAGTCTGTCAGGGTGAGATACAAAAATGACAACAGTTTGTAAACATGGCATAATTCCTCCTAATGTAGATAATGACACACTTTGATCCAGGCAATCAATACAACTAGGCGTCGTTACTGCGGAATTGTTGACCGTTCCACCTGTCCAGACCTGCCCACATCCAATCAGCTGTAATGGTGCCATGCCTACTACTGTATCCGTTTAATACTATGGTTAGGAGGGTCGTCGCACAGTATGGAATGACACATATGCATCGCACATTCAAATATATATTTCAAATAATATATTTTATTCAGGAACATCTTTGTAATGATGCATTCATGGTGATTAGCGAGTCTGATTATTGTGAATGTATAAGTTGTTTAATTGATGAAATGGGTAATCGAAGAACAATCAATCACCACAATTACGATTGTTCAATGATACAAGTTTTCCGAATCATCCTAGGCGACTCTCGCGATTACACAAGTCGTTAATTCACGACACTCTTTCATCGACAGTAATATCGAATACACAGTATTTTCAAAGAAAGTACATGATGTATATGGAGATAAAGACAATATACTCCAATCAATACAGGAATTTCGATTTATTTCAATATGGACCGCACCGCCATCTTGCACACGAGTTACCTTGCATCCCGAGTTGTATTACACATGCTATCTGTGATGGGTTTATAGATGATTATAAGAAAATTGTTATCATCAGCCTACTTGCTCAATATCAAGATCCCTAGCACTAGTATTTACATAATACTGATATTAGTTCAATATTGTGAAATCCACGTAGCTATTGATGTTCTTGTCGATGTTATTTAACTAAAAATCAATGATCGGGAAATCAAAATCTATTTAGATTGTAAACAGGTATAAATCATCGTCAAAATTTTATTAACTGTAATTCCACCCATCATTATTTGCATAACATACTGGATAAAACAGTTTTTTTAATATATAGAAAATATTTACTCACCATATCGTATAATCAAATTACTGGAAGAGCGAATTTATGGTGTATCGAAAGCTTGCTGAAGGAGGTCTCGTAGATTCTCGGATGACAACGAGACTGCAATCTGCTGCTACATCTCAGTAATCAATATGGCCGACTACCCCGGGTACGGGACATCAGTGCGTGAGCCGTTAACATCAATAATAATACATAGGCTGGATATTATCGATCTCGTAGCAATGTCAGCTGCAGGTGTTGGGAGGGAAACTCGAATGGAGGTGGATCGGGAGGGTATACAGCACCTGTGGCTTTGGAACATAGACGGTTTAAGATCGTTGTAGTTGATGATGCTACTGGAGATTGTGTCTGTCTGATGGTCGGAGGGCGATGAATGTGGTGGTTGATGATGCTATTAGAGCTTGTGTCTGTATGTTGGAAGGATTGCAACGAATGTCGTGGTTGATGCTTCTACTACTAGAGATTGTGTCTGTCTGATGGTAGAGGGGCGATGAATGTCGTGGTTGATGCTGCAACTAGAGATTATGTTTGATGGTTGGTAGGAGGGTAATGAATAGCGTGGTTGATGCTGCTACTACAGCTTGTGTTTCTCTGGTGGTAGGAGGGCAATGGATGTCGTAGTTGATGCTGCAACAAGAGTTCGTGTCTGTCTGAGAGTAAGGCGAACTGTTGCCGGTTGAGAAGAGCGAATGGCTCGCAAACATCGTTCCAGTACGTCACACGGGTATTCAACCGGTGCTACTGTTTTAGCATTCAAGCCATTGCCTTCTTGTGATACCAATTCGGTTGATGATACCAATTCGGTTGATGAAGTCAGTACGAGCATTGTCCTTCTGGAGTGTGGCACCAAGTCAAAAGACAATCAAAGCAAGGGGAACCAGTCATTGAGGAATCTCTTCCCTACAGCGAACCCCTGTCAGATTTCCACTGACATGATAAAGTGGTGTTCTGTTTATCAAACCAGCACTGCCCCACCACAAAGCCTGTCCCTGACTGGGTCATCTTGAAACCGTTCTCCTCCACGGAATGCCAGGAAACAAATCATTGCGACCACTGCTGCCTCGATGAGCCTGACAGGAAAGCATGTAGTCCCGTGATGTACCGATGCAGATGGTCTTTAGAGTTGATACCAGCAGCTCTGAGGCGGTTCTTTATTGTCTGTATACCGACATTTGTATGAGTGGCTGCCCTCATATGACGTCGCAGTGTCCTGATGTCCTGAATATCTGAGGTAAAGCTGCAGAACGACACAACAGCATAACGGTCCTCAGATCTGGAAGTTGAACTTGGTCTGCCAGAACGAAGCCGATCCTTGAATTCTCGAAGTCTGGAACCTGTGCCACAGACTATAGTACCACTCGGAGCCGTTTCTCTGATGGCCATGCCACCTAGTAGGTTTATGGTCGTCTGGCTCATTGTAATTAACCCAATACAATAACAGGATTGTATTTGGGTGATGTTCCCTCTTTACCCTTACACCTGGCCGGACAGTTGCCTGTTCGAAGGAACAATTCCCAAACAAAAGGTTTTGTCCAGTCAAAAGTCATATTCCATGTTAAGGCATACGATGGCGAGCGTTGGGTATGTTTTCCTACATCAGAAAATTGTGTTTGCTTTTGAAATGGGGATATATTAATGTAACAGGGTACAACATGTGTGTGAACGGACACTTGTTTGAATAAGTGTACATGTCCAGATATGGTGCTGACAAACGTAGAAGCTGGCGCGCCCAAGGGAGACAACTGCGCGAAGCGAAGTAAAGCTCATCAACGTGCGAGCGTGGATGCAAGTATGTATGTATATTATTATTATTATTATAGGATATTTATATAGCGCACATATCCACGCACTAGTGCATGCTCAAGGCGCTGGTATTTTTTCCCTCGATCATTGGATGTCAATCTCAACGGCACATCGCATTACCAATCTCAACTCCCTGGGGAGTATACAAATCTTGCAGCCACTGGGCGCACCGAGGCTTTCTCATCCTAACGAGGTATACATTCATATATCTACGCACAGACGGATATCAACAGCGATCTGTGATCCCGGATAAATTTGGGTCTTCAGCAGTCCATGCTTGTCGATGGAGGCGACTGACGGGATCGGATGGTCTGATTCGCTGACTTGTTTGATGTGTGTCATCGTATCCCAGTTGTGTAGACTGGTGTTCATGATATCAATCACTGGATACAGTTCCTCCTTTGTGTTCATTCCTGCAAGTTCAAATAATTTGCTGCAAGGACGTTTCACTATGCGTCTCCCTGACATGTCGTTTTTAAAGCTCATCTCAATACCTATCTCTTTGGGAGATGGGGCGGCGGGTAGCCTAGTGGTTCGCTCGTCACACCGAAAATCCGGGTTCGATTCCCCAAATGGGCACAATGTGTGAAGCCCATTTCTGGTGTCCCCCACCGTGATATGCTGGAATACTGCTAAAAGCGGCGTAAAACCCAACTCACTCACTAACTCTTTGGGAGATATTAAAATTGACTTGGATTGTTGTATGCGCTTAGAGCGTGCCCATGAGGTGTGGAGATCAGTTTATACAAATACCCTGATTATTGTCATCAACACACAAGAAATAAGTATGCCAGAGTATAGAGCGCGATGGATCTCGTGTTTAATCGATGCAAAGTTTTTAACAAATGTCGCCATTGTTTATCTTTTGAAATAAACACCAAGAAATCAATAATATAACAGATGATTGTTAGAATCAGGCGAGCCATGACGTGGTTTAACATTGTATCGATCTGTGTACCAGCAGCTCTGTGCACAGGGCTGCCATTCCCAAGTTGCTTTGTTGACAAGTAGCTTCTTCGTCAAGGACACGCGCCGTGATCCCAGGAGAGAGTAACTGAATCTGTTGTAGCTGGAGGTTCTGTTGAACTCACGCCCACCTCGTAGATGATTTAAGGAGACAGGTGTACTTACTGTCTCAGTCATTGTATATGCAATAACGTCAGTTTTTAATACTTGCCCCTAATTGCGACAAAGAAACAATTAGCTTTAGTCAAAGAGGAATAGTAACCCGTGGGTCCAGTAACCCGGGCTTGTTTCAGCTGCAACCAACGGGATCTGGTGCCCGATCCACAAAACGTTCGTAGCACTACACCATTCTTACGTCTGTGATAAACTACTGCCAGTAGATAGTTACGACAGGTCGTAACTTTACGAACGCTTTGTGGATCGGGACCCTGTGGTCTTTGTTCCTCTCGGCTTCCCAAATACGTAGCTTTAATTGATGTACGCGATATCAATCACTGAACTATCCGGTCCAGACATGACATCCTATGTTTCAGCCACCACAATCCACTGGTTATCAAACTTTCATAAAAGCCCTGAAAAGATGTTGAGGAGTTACCTCCCTTTGACTGAGTGGCCATGTTTCGTTGGCTCTTCACTGTGGCTACCACCATAACCAACATCAGTATTCCTTGTTTTCTAAGTGTTGTGCGACTTTTAACGTGGCATACAAGTTGTTGTTTATGACGCAAACACCACTTACGCCATAAATTTACTTAACAATTCAAAAGAAATGCCTTTAATAATAAACATGAATCATTAATAACGAATCATATGATCGGAAAACTTGACAATTCTGGTGAATTAATTTTTAAAAAACATCTAACAATTACAGTGCTGTCACAAATCAGAGGAGACCTCTACAATTGAGGTTACCAAAGACCATTTAGAGAGTGGCTCGGGAAATTGGTCCAGTGTCTGAATCATTCTTACACTAGCGTTTTACAATATATACTGAACCACAAAAGAAACGCCGCCTTTCAAAACCAAATGCAAAATTTTGTTCATACAAGGTGGAGAACTGTTTCCCAATGATTGTATTGTTCAAAGAGACTCGTGGGGTGGTCCAGGCATCATGGTGTGGGGTGCAATCGGTCAGAACCAGTTAGCTGACACCGTGGTGTTCCAGAATCTCGGTCCAGGATGAGGAAATGACGTGACAGCTGCTCGCTATATTGACCAAGTCATAAGACCCCACGTTGTACCACATTTTGGACGTCACAGAAATCACATCTTCCAGCAAGACAACGCTCGTGTCCACACTGCCAGAGCAACATTGGGCTTCCTGAGACAACATGGCATCCAAACCCTACCATAGCCTGCACTCAGTCCAGATTGAAGTCCAATAGAATACCTTTGGGACGAGATTCAAAGAAGACTGAATAACCTCTAACCAAGGCTGACAACTGTGTGAGGTGAGGTGAGGTGAAATGAGTTTAACGTAGTGCTGGAAAATAATTCGCTCATATGACGACGTGCATACGTGTGTATGTGTATGTGCGGCTGCTTGTACTAGCCAAGACTTAAGCTGGTTTTAAAGTGCTAGCCCACTGAGATACCATGCCGCAGTGAGGTGAGGTGAAATTGGGTTTAACGTCGTGCTGGAGCATATTTCGCTTATATGACGACGTGCATGCGTGTGTATGTGTATGTGCAGCTACTTGTACTAGCCCAGACTTAAGCTGGTTTTGTAGTGCTAGCCCACTGAGATACCATGCCGCAGTGAAGCATGAATACCCCACTCAGACACATTATACTGACTCCGAGCCGACCAGTCCTTGTTGTACCCATTAATGCCGAGCGCCAGGCAGGGACCAACAAGTACCATATTTTAACGTATTTTGGTATGACGTGGTTGGGGATCGAACCCGCGACCTTCCGCTCCCCGGGCGGACGCTCTAACCACTACACCACGGAGGCGGTGCGCCGACAACTGCGGCTGGACTCGATCAGGCATTTCGCGGAGTATGGACCCAAGTGCCTATGGCCTTCACCCGGCTAATTCATGCCATATACAGACGACGCAACGATTTGATCGATGCCCATACACAAAACTGACTTTTGGATATCTTAATGGTAGCATTTCTGGTGATGTTGTTTGTGTGAACTCCCCGAAAATGTGTTAACCATAATTGTCAAGTTTGAAGTCAATCCTCCGTTTTGATTGTTAGAGTGAATTAACGTGTGTGCTTTAAGAGACCTCTATCGGTGCGACATTTCTTTTGTGGTTCAGTATATTTCAATAACATGTTACATCTCAAATGAAAAAAAAAACAGGTCACATTTGGCCACTTCCTAAATGGACTCAATCAGTTCATTTCCAGTATATTAAAGATATTAAATTACACCAGATATGCTGATGGCAGAACACATTTTCTGTTTGTGTTCAAAAACCTTGTTTGGTTGCATACTTTAGAATATAGCCGTCCCTGAACAGACCATCACTGGATTACAACATTCTACTCCAGTTTTGATAGGGATATACGTCTTTTCTTCACCATCGTATTTCTCAAATCAAGTGTTTTGTGTGTGTATACATGCAGAACACAGGTGTATTTACAGTTATTAAACATGTTAAATTTGTATTAACATTTCCGCATTTTTAGTTCATATTATATATACTCCCAATGCCGACAAAGCTACAAAAATATCCTGCAAAGGTTATACATCAAGGTTATCATGCAAAAATAGTTCTACATATTTGGGTTTTTTAATCTTTCAAAACCTGACCTTAAACAATGTTCAAGGTATAAAACATTCACTTGAATGCTTATATTGAGAAAGTTTTAGGCATTTTTGTTTAAAGCCACCCTCTTAATATTTCAGCTACATGGCAGCGATCTGTAAATAATCAGTCTGGATTGGTTGATTTGTTACTTAATGCTGCACTCAGCAATATTCCAGCTACATTGCGGTGGTCTGCAAATTATTGAGCCAGGACCAGACAATCCAGTGACCAACATCGTGAGCATCTCCGCCTTTGGGATATGACGACCTGTCAACCAAGTCAACCCTGATCACCCGATCCCTGTTAGTCGCCTCTCTATTTTCCAGTGTCATGCTGTATGGTTACTAACATATTTGACAAGCAAACAAGAAGTTGATTTTCAATAAAATAACTCTTTAATCATTTCATTAACAACTCCATTTCCCATCAGAGTGACAATATTGCAGGAACATTGCAGCCGGAACAGTTTTGTAGGTGTTTGTTCAGATCCAGGATACTCATCTCTGCCACCACAGAGGCTGATGGGAAGGCGATCCTCCACCTTGTTCCAGCACCGACACTGACAAGGCTCTCTCTCAATGGGCAACAGATTCAGAAGAAAGATGTTTATATAAAAATTTGCATTCTTTATGATGAAACCTCATAAAACAATGATTGTTGGTCCATTTTCACAACAAACAACGATGGAATGTATTGAAGAGACAATATGTTGACAGACGAGGATGACAGAAAGGCAGCTGGATGAACGGAAGACTAGGCGAAACAATGCTGTCTACTTGCTTGTCATCATTTTCACAAATTCTGAAAAAGAAAAGGATAAATTTTATTCAATGACAGCAGAAGCAGACACTTGAAGTTGAAACGAATATTGTAAAGTACAGCTATAAAACCATTCATCAAATAAGACAAAGACTAATGAAATTTGCTGAAATCAAATACTAATTTATACTCATTTCGTTTCATTACATTTTCAATTATCTTAGGTTTAGTGAAAATATTCAATGACAATGCATACAGAAAGTGACAAATTGAATATGGGTGTAAGAACAGAATTTCTGCCACAAGATTATCTCCCTTTGATCACTGCTGCCCATTTCACACTTCCTTTAATGTCTGTGTAGCCTAAATTATTTCAACGTCTGTATAGCCTAAATTATTTCAACTTCTGTATAGCCTAAATTATTTCAGTGGCAAAAACGTTTTGTAGCTTACCTTCATAATTTACTTGTCCGTCACCATCAATATCTGCTTCCCTGATCATTTCATCTACTTCCTCGTCCGTCAACTTCTCGCCCAAGTTTGTCATGACATGCCTCAACTCAGCTGCACTGATGAACCCGTTGCCGTCCTTGTCGAACACTCGGAATGCTTCTCTAATCTCCTCCTCTGAGTCAGTATCCTTCATCTTTCTGGCCATCATTGTCAGGAACTCTGGGAAATCTATCGTTCCATTCCCTGCAAATGAAGAAATACTTAGTATTTAATCTAAACAAACATATGTAAACCCAATAATTGCTTTTATGTACATTTTGCTTGTCAATCTGTAACTTTTGATTTGAATAGGCTGCCAAGCATTCTATTAACTTGGTAAGTTACTCACTTAACAAATATCCAAATTCAACAAAATAAAAGATGTTATCCACTTTTACAGGTACCATAGCATAAAATTAATTTTAGTTTGTTAGGCCCTTAATACTTAATCTCACAGTTACACAAACGGCATTATGACATGTACATATAGTTGAAAGGACATTATTGTTTACAAATATGAAAAAATATATGATGTTTTTGATTCTGATTTACATTTCACACCAAGTTGAGCTTATTGTATGTAAAGACTAGTGGCTGAAAATTTTTATTCTACTGAATGGCATTTTAAGCCGTCATTAACAGTACTGTATTGGGATACTAGGCTCACGATACAATATCATTTACACCTCCTGTATCACAATACATACGACCATTACTATTACCAATTATACTGAGGTAAAAACATGAATAATAACCAGTTCATAAACAAGTTTAAGCATATTTCCTAGTTCTTTTTCTGATTTGCTTCCACAGTCTGGCATTCCTAGTGGGTAATACAGAAAATGTTACATTGTAAGGTACATTGAAAATAATAGAAGAGCGTTCAGCCAATCAGAAAACATTTATGTGCGAGGTAAGATAAATTGTATGGACTTAGTGGAGTCAGTCCTTGGAAGAAATGTTAATTCTTCCATACTCACCATCGGCATCTACTTCGTTGATCATGTCTTGCAACTCTGCCTCTGTTGGGTTCTGACCTAGCGACCTCATGACGGTTCCCAACTCTTTGGTTGTGATGGTGCCATCACCGTCTTTGTCGAAAAGGCTGAAGGCCTCTTTGAATTCTGTATCAAAAGAATAATTCCATGAGCCACTGACAAATAGTGAAATACTGATATACATCTCGTCTTGCACCAAAGCTAGTTGAAGTATTTAATTTTTATCAAATGACTCAGTTATGATTTACACATTAAAAATGTGAACAAAATGTAACAGGGATTCTTGTAACAGCAAACAAAGATATTTCGTACATTATACATTTTCTAGGGAGAAAGAATTTGCACCTGCCATTTTCATGGTATGTTTCAGAAATATCTACATTGCCTATTTTATCAGTGTGCATGTAATTACTTTAACTGGTGCTCAATGTTTGCAGATAATCAAAGGCTTCATTGGCACACAGGGAAATATGTCTTGAACACAAATTTAAACAAGTTAACAAGCTTGTTGTTCAGTTGTATTGTTAAAAATTGAGAAAATGAAACCTAAATACTCGGTCATATAACTATGTGTATTTGGTATTACATTATTAAAAAAATAACTTTTACAAAGTCGCTGAGGGGAGGAAAAATGATACCTTACCAGCAATTTGTTCTTCTGTCAGCTGATCTGCCTGTAAAAGAAAACCATTGATTACATATATGTAGTTTATTCCAAATTGTACACTAAACATTTATTTAAACATATACTTTAACCAGCATTTCATCTTCATACCCAAAGGATAGACAGCATGAGCCGACATGCTGGAATCAGGATTTCTTCCATATAATGAATGTATGCAAGACCCAAATCAAGGCATTTAACAAAACTTGACTTATCCAGTAGTCTTGAGAACTAGACCTGCCAAATAGTGGACTAACTACTTAAAAGAATATCTTATTTTACCATAACCACTGGTCCAGAATTAACTGTTGACTACATTTGACTGTTTGCAGTTCAACGCTGTACGAATGTTGGAGGCCTGGCTGACAATAAGTTGAATAATTGGGACATGTTGGATATAACTAAAGGCATCTACCATTGAGGACATTGCCACAAGACGCTCTAAATATCAACTACAATTTGAATTGCCCTTATTCACTTCAACTTGATAGAAAATCTGTCATGCACTGATGAATAAACGCAGTAGCATAACAAGCAAACAGTTCTTTCATTATATCTGCACTTCCTTCAGCCAATGTCTTGCATATTTTCAAACGAGGCCTTGTCAAAAAGAGAAAAGACAACGGGAAAAAATAGTCTCTTAAAATGCGCTTTCAGGTGAAATCTAAATTGCCTCTTTTCAAATGATGCCCCAAGTGGTCACGCCTCATAAGCTAACAGTGACATGTCAATGTTACAATAAGCGATGTATAACGCTTTTGTGCTACAAGGGTTCAATGTTTGACAAGATGACAGCCTTTAAACCAGTAAAACAGATGCAAACCAAGATAGTATACAAGCTCAACACCACCACTGGATAATCTCAAAATTTATACACTAACTTTAACTGTCCATGTGTATTTGCACACAGGCAACTCAAATTGGGCTTATTTCACAAAAACATGCAGCGATTTGTGTGTGTGTGTGTGTGTGTGTGTGTGTGTGTGTGTGTGTGTGTGTTTGTTTGTGTCTGAAATGACTACGAGGTTGAAATAGCCTAAATTTTTATGTGCAAAATTTTGTATTTGGAAAAATCCTTGCAAGAGGCAGACGTTTCTGCAAGACAGGTATTTTCTCTGTTGAAATCAATCTAAAATCTGACTTCAATATTTTTAGGCTGTTCATAGAGATATGAAAGAATAAAACTAAAACAGCGCACAAGCTGCACACTGTGTTCAAATTTTTACTTGTATTACTCCATGAACACAGGACATCAGGTGTTAAAATGCTTTTCAATCAAATTCATATTTCCTGCATTGATTCAATATTGTGCGACATATTTTATTGATATTTTGTGTCTACTCAAAGCTCAAGTAAAGATCGATCCATATCTGTATCCCAATCAAATTTAGTTAACGTTTGAAAAATGCTTATTCAGGTGAACTGTTGGCCGACAAAATTGCCATCGTGTTCCTTTGTATAGCATATAGCCACATATGGAAATGTGACTAATCTCAACAATTTATCTTATTGACTGAACCACCATGTGTAATTAGGGCCACAGAAGGCAGTCTTGGCTGTGGTTCACTGCACAATGACGAATACCTGGCCTACCATCTCATTTAGATCTCCATCTCAGCCGATGTCTGCTTGAGTGCTTGATTATACACATATCTGTTACTGTTAATTCAGTTGGGTTTTTTAAAATATGGACATACCTGAACACCATTTAGCTAAGTACACCTGTTTTAAATAACTTAAATACTCATTTAAATCCTTTGAAGGCAAATTAGCATCATGGGGTAAGGTTCAGATGTAAGACAACTTAATAAACAAGATTACGAAGAATTTGTTTATTTATCATTTACTTGTATAAGGAATGGACTTTGTAGTCAGCAGCTGAATGTTTTCTTTATATTATGCCATGCACAATATCAGTACAAGATTTCAATATTTTTACAGAAATGTGTGCTTTCATTATCAATTGCAAGACATAAAATTACCTTAATAATCAATACAAAATATTCACAAGATTTTGATAGCACCTCAACCCTTTGGTATGTAGCATAATATTTCATGTCCTGCAATTAAAATATTTATGCAGTCTTAAAGTTGAGTATGCTTTATCATTTGTTTACTTTACAGGTCCCTCATATTTCAAGAAGACATAGTACTGTTGAAATTGGGAGTTTCGGACCATTGGTATTTTAGATTTAGCATGTTTATAGTCTGTCTGCTGTGAAAACTTATCGATGAATTTCACTTTAAAGAAAAAAGTAAATCAAATGAAGTGAAATTAAGATTGCGAATCCTCATAATTTTACCTTGCCAATTGAACATTTAAATCTCAAAATCTTATTCAAATTAGGATCAGATTCAAATCGCTATTACTGGTTTGTATTACAAGGGGGTAACTTAAGCGCAGTAACTGAAACAGTGAAACAAATGCACATGCGGTAGGTGAAGAGCGTTAACTTACAACAACCCTTGTTGTTTTCGGTGTTTCATTTGATGTGCATACCCCCTTGTAGTACAAACCAATAATAGCCATGTGAAACTATGATATCATCGTTTGTTAAACAACTTTTATCCTAAGTCGAATAAAATTCTGAGATTTATGTGTTCAATGTGGCAAGGTAAAATCAATAGGATTCGCAGTCTTAATTTCTCTTTATTTGTTTTACTTTTTGGTTTAAAGTGACATTCATCGGTACGTTTTCACTGCAAACAGACTATAGGCAAAATCATGCCTTGGTGTCATAAATTGTAACCTGGTATGGACAAGGAAAATCACTTAGATCTAGCCAGGATATTGGTCACATCAGCTTTCAAAAATGACTTTCCTTATGCTTACTGCAGTAGACACATTAACCTAGCAAAGTATTCATGGAAACAAGTCATGGATGACAAGAAAACCTGTTTGAAAAAAGTGAAACTCCCCCTTGGCCTGGAGAAACAGGGGGTCAGCATTTGACCAAACGTAATTTGTAGGTGTACAGTTTTGAGTTTAAACATGGAAATCATGTACTAAGCTGAAACTATTTCAGGGGCAAGCGGTAATGGAGCGCTTTCTTAGGCCTCAATTGTTCTACTGGGTGTGCCTATGTTCCCTAACTGACAGGGCGTCAACACAAAATAGTAGTAAGTCGGTATAACTTAGACTGTTACTGTGACTCGTGAAAACAAACCATTTCTACAGTAGGCATTTAATCAAAGTTCATTAATCGTTTGGTGTTATCATCCATGCACTGAGCTATCAATCTGAGACTATATTCGGCTACTTATTTCAACAAGGAAGACAGAATACAACGGCCACTGTGACTTGTTTCACGAACTTGTTAAGTTGTTAAATGTTCACACAAAAATGTGTCAAACAAGAAAAGACTTAGATCTTGCATATACGTACGTAATTGCACAATAGCAATAAAATCAGAGGAAGTCAGTGATATGAAATTGCACGTATTGTGAGAAAATGTCTATGCACGAATCATTGATCGAGAAAATCAACGTGTGAACAGCCAACAACGATGAATCCAAAGTTTCTTCGAACTAGTTTATACTTGATCGGAAAAGTCCTGAATGACAATGTACCATTACTACTTTGAAAAAGAGTCATACAAGGATAATAATGTCTTACAATGTCATAGAAAAGAAAGTCCATACAGCGAACGCCGTAGGTGTGATAAAAGTTGACCCGCCTTTCTAAACTTTCTATTCATTTATTGTATCGGCTGTCAAGCTGTTCAAAGGAAGTGGAAGCAAAAATATTCACACTGACTTATACTTCGATACTTACAAAACATATTTCCTATGTACATTTATCCCGATGGCAACAAAACATGCACTTACCATCTTGGATTGTAATCGTCAACGTAGGATACCACTGGCCTTCCCGGTTTTGATCTTTCAAATTTCCGCTACCTTACTGAACACGGCGTCCAATAACATTCAAGGCTATATATAGACAGGGAGCATTTCATAACTTTAAATGGCCGACGGACCCTAACAATCTGTCGCAATGCGACAGAATTAAATAACAGAAAAAATCCATTGAACTTAACGAACGTATTGTTGTAAGATGGTTTAACTTCTGTGGTACTTTATGATGTAATTATTGCAGAATAGCATTAATTAATGCCTATACATCTATTACTATCGTTAAGCGATCCGTGAGAATAAGAACTGATTTCAACAATACAGTCTAATTTATATACTATTGAGAAAGGCATAGTAATTGGGGCTCCAATAATCACCCATTGTGCGACTTTAAGTAGTTATCTTTAATTAATATTTCTTCATATGAGAAATGTATTCACAGTCATGTGACAGGGATATTTATATAAAGTATTTTGTTATTTATCTTATATCATATAAGCAGTTTCTGATGTATATTTATTACATGGCATAAATTGTAGGTAATGTCATTTGAATCGGGCTGTGATCTCTATTTTAGACATTTGTTTAAAATTTGCATATATATTTCTTCGACTGTTAATCACTTGAATTGATGATTTAAAAGCACCCCTGGGATACGCAAGTAAGCCTTATATTTTTTTCATTACAAATCGAAGTAAAAGGAAATTCATCTGTATTTGGGTTGCAACGTTCAGTTGATTATGTTTAGCAAAACACCCTCCCCAAAACAAATAAATAAATAGACCAAAAAAAAAAAAGAAAATAATTTATTTTTTTTAAAAATATAGAAAGCAAGAGAATGTTAAAAAAATAGAACACTCGTGTAAATGCCTTCGAATAACGTTGTTTAAGTAAACCCCGTGAAATGAAACAGAGAGGATTTGTTTTCGCTATATATTAATACAAAATATCAAGTTACACATTAATTCTTTACGTTTTTCCTTTGGTATTTTTTTTTCATATTATCCCATTTATCTTAAGTCCGGGTCAGATATTATGGAAAGACACGCAAACACAAAACGTATTTTATAATATTTTCTTTAGCAATGTTGTGTTATTTATTCAACATTAATAATGTTTCTTTTGTGTAAGACGACAGGTGAACAGGTCGTTTAG